AAATTATTATATTGGCACCAAACACTAGGGTCAAGATTACAGCTTCCTGTGGTCTGATAAAGTAGTGGCCGCTGAGATATGCAAGTGATCCACAGACAAAACAGTGCTGAACAACTGAAATATTTCCATTTCTTGTGAGAGTCTACTTCAGCAGCTTTGTCAGGATCAAAGCTACATGCCAACTTTCTTCACAGTCTGTGCCAAACACTCAGACAATAAAACCAAACCATGTATAGGCCTCTACCTGACACTGTAGTGTGTCAGACTGCATTGGAGAAGCAGTAACCGTAAATGTGAGATTTGTGTGTATGCGAGAGAGTGTGCTGGAGATGCTTGTCAGATCAAACCTCACGTAGCCTTGATCTCAGAGACATACCAACCTGTATAAGCCATGACTTCCTCCCTACACACACACACACACACACACACTCATACAAGTTTGTATTCTTATTTCTCTGGGGTATTTCCACAAGCATTCCAATTTCTGGGGGATATTTTCACAAATTTTGTATTCCTGTTTTCCATGGGTTCTTTCCACCTCAGTATGCCTTCCTCAGTAAACAGAAGCAAATCTATTTGTTGTGTTACATTTTAAATAGGACTGCCCCGAACAGCACTTTGCAGGCTTTGAATACTCATTGATATTTCAGAACAAGTACCCAAGTTCTCCTTCACAAAATCACCATTAAAAACAACAATATTTAAACCATTTTTCAACTGCCTATCTGACGGTACATATATGCTTCTATTTTAAACAATATTTCAGTCCACACCGGCTGTGCTACTTGCACTTCTTATGCCCATCAAACCCTTCCAACCTGTCGCATTTGTTTACACATCAAGTCACACACTTTCTGCTGAGTTGGAGGCAGTGTGGATTTTGCATTGAGCATCTTTCTTATCGTCTGATAATTAATAATAATAATAAAGCACTCCAACCTGTGATTTCTCAGGCGCCTCTGCTCTTGTAGTTTCAATGGTCAGGTGGAAAGTGGCGCAGATTGTCGCACTCTGAGGCAAGGTGACACGGATTTCTGGAATAAAGATGTATTCTAAACCAGACTGGCTATCATTTATTTATTTTTAACATTTTCCGTATATTAACAATAACTGCTCTATCTAAAGGCCTCTGCAAATGCAGTTCAGGCTAAAATGTTTGTGGCTTAAAAAAAGACAAATCTGCCAAACGCTAAACAGAGAAAATAATACCAACATAAGCGAATACTCATTGATTCAAATCATTTGGACCAGCCCCAACTTTAAATCAAAGCTACATTTTTGTAAAAGACATTTTGTGAAATGTGGACATTTCAAATATTCTAACATCAAACTTTTCATGTTTTCCCATCATCCTGTGGAGAGCTAAACACAAAATCAAACACAAATACAGAGGGTGGTAGTGGTTTGAGGCAGTTTTGTATCTAGCAAATGCAAAGAAAGACTATGTGCACTCCAGTAGGAGGCTGTAAGTGTTGTACAGCCTATTGTTACCTGTAACATGTAAACAGCTACAATCAGTGAAGATAAGAACCCTCTTTTTCACATTGGAAATAATATGCAAGTAGCAGGTCTTTACCCTACAGCCAGAGTCAAGCACAAAGCCCTATACTTCACATTATGCATAGAGGCTAAGTATATAATAACAGTAAACAAAACAAATCCCAGATACCTTATTTGTTTACGCAATGGATGAAATTGTCTAAGCCTCAAAGCAAAAGCCCAGCCTCCAACATGTGCATATATTTACAGTACGCCATTAAAACTGAACTCACAGCGGAGGGATATACAATTACAGAGTTCAAAGTGACTCATCATAGTTTTGTCATTAAATGAAATACCGTACACTGTGGCCGCTATGAATCATGGGCTGATGCAGCGTAGCGCGGTATGAGTGCGTATGTGCATGGGCTGCTGTATGAAGCAGTTGTGGTGGAGGCCCGGGAGCTGCTGTGAGAGGGGGAGAAGATGAATGCTAGGCTGGTGGAGCAGCAGAAGCCCCTGTAAGCTCAGGGCAGCCCAACTCCTGGGGGATGTCATCGAGCCCGCCAGCCACAGCTTAAATGGGGAAAAGATGACATTGAGTAGTTTTGCTTACATAAAATACTGCTGCAATAGTTTCTCCATTAATTTTTAATGCCTCTCCTGTCTTGCTGGCCCACGTTCTTTCTCCCCAAGCCTGTTCCACCTTCCAGCCGTCCCTGCCACTGTGGGCCTGTATGGACAGTAAAGGAGGGAGGACGGGACAGTGGATGGAAGCTACACACACCCCAACAACAGCCTTCATCAGTTTGTCCAGGCACACATGAGCACACACACACAAAAGCAAACCCACAAAAGACATGCAAACACAATGAAAGAAGGCTTGCCTCATAAATGGCATTAACTATGCAGCAGTGCGGCCATACAGCACCAAGCCGGAGCAGAGGGAGGGAGAACAACTGCATGCACATGAATTATTGAGGATGGGTCTGGAGCATACCACCGGCTGGACAGCAGTGCACGCTGCCCTCTGATGAAGCACTTTGACTCCAACTCAGAGGAGATGAGAGCCGACAATCTGCCTTCTTACACTTCAGCACACAACATCCAAAAAACTACCTTGACGAGAACAACTCAAAGCATCACAATGCCAAAGTAAATATTACAGAAAATAGGGCAGGCTGATATAAAATCTGTGTCACTGATGCTGATTTGTAGCAGCTAAAAAGTTAATAAGCAATAATGTTTGCCAGTATGATTTTATATGGTCAAAAGTTAAACAATTGTTTCAAATAAACAGATAAAAAGATGAGATGATTAAAATCTTCAAAATCAGCAATTTTACTAACATTACAGATGTGTGTTCATTGTAATATAAAACAAGCAACTTCAAAACAAAATAAGTGCTTTATCAGTGGGATTTTCACCGATATCTATAAATCCACAGAATCATAAAATGTTTGTTATCAGTTTGGAATCATTTTTGATATGAACATTTTTTGTTATTTTATCTACAATAACAAGCTCTGTTCCTCATTTTGGACACATCTGAAGGTTCTTCAACTGTACAGGACTAGAAGACTATCATATTCGAATCATTGTATACATTTATCTGTCACCATACTGGTTTTACCTTATGGAAAACATTAATTCCAAACATCTGAATACTAGTGTATATCAGTTGAACCCTAATGGATGTTTAAACTCAAATCATATTTTAATCTACATAGAATGTAACATACAGTAAAAAAGTCTGTAGAGGAATGGCAGTCCTCACTTAAACTCATCAAATGTCAAATGAGTAACCCACAGAAGCACATCAATATGAAACGCATCAGCTACCTTCCCTGTAGTGCAGCAGAGTTCCCTTCTTTCGAAGACACATTCGTCTAATGTCTTTATGAAGAGCCGTGTTTCCACAGACAATGTCAATATCCCATGGCAACCAGAGTACCTTTGTTTCATGGCCCGCCATTGAAGCACATCGCCCAAGATTGAAATGCGCTTTTTCCAAAAAAGCCCTTACTGCACACTTACAAGAGGCAATATTCAAATGATAACACTTGAGGAGATGATGACTATCTGGGAATATCTTCAAGAACTACAATCCCTGAGAAATTAGACCTACCTGCAGCATCGTCTCCATCTGTCTTTCATCTCTGCACAATGAATGTAATCATCACTATAGCCAGAAGAGAGCAGTCACTGGTGCTGCAGCTGAAGGAATTACAGCCTAATTTCAGAAAATCTCTTGAATGATTCAAGTGATATCCAGAACTTAATTACAACAGTAGAACTAGTAAAGAGTCTACCTTAATAAAAAAAAATAAAAAAAGAAAGAAACTCTCTTTGACATCAGGCACACCACTATGCAATGGCCTGCTCCAAGCAGAAGAAAACTTACCTGTATGATAAACAGTAATCAACATTAACATGTTTTGGCCATTCTAGATTAAACATGGACATCTAAAATTTGTACTATTCTATGTTTTACTTGGTGCTTCATTCAGACATATTAACATACATTTTACCTTGTATGTAACAGTTTTACAGTGACTCCTTCAGTTCTCGGACAACAAACGGAAACCCACTGGTTGGGCTATGGATGTGAATTTGCAGACAGTAACATATCTAGGACTTCCAGAAGCCTTAGAGTGAGTTTTTTTCACAGGAAATTGGTCCCACCCGTTGGAAATTAAAATGCGAGTGGTTGATTCCACTGCCAGTTCCTAATAGTGTTAGTGGTTAATCTGACACAATAGACCTTAAGTTCAGCTCCTGAAAGCCTAACCAATAAGAGCGCTCGCTTGGCTGTAATACAGAAAAAAAAAATCTGATTGGGCAATTTTCTCTTGGCTACAACGCTTGCAGAGTTTACACAACAAGCATGATGATTATATTAAATAAAAATGAATGAAAAATTACAAACTTTTTTTATTATTTTACAGGAATCATTAGGCCTTCTCTGAAGGCCTAGAAGGCCGTGAGCGTTCCCTACTGGTTTTTAAATTGCAATAGAACTCGCTCTCAAAAAGAAGTGCATTCAAAGCCATTTTACGCCATTGAAATTACGCCTTGCTCAGACGCCCTATAAAATCTACTCTGGCAAGACATCCTGTCGTTTTCTACAGAGTCTGTACTGTTTCATCTGGAAGAAAAAAAAACATAGAGAGGCAGCATTAGTAGAACTCTCAGCCTCATTCGACTCCATCTGTCACTTCTATTAGAGCCACTGACCAGCAGCACTGCTCAGCCACACACACACACAATAGAGTGGAGCTATTGCATTTATCCCACAGCAAGAACCCTTCCAGCCATGCACACGCACACGCACACACACACACACACACACACTTTTACAAGTAAGAAGTGAATTGACACATGTGCCCACACACACTCACACTCACTCCCACAAAAACAGAGGCAAATAATAGATTTGCACACACTTGCACACGCACACGGTCTGGCTGTGCCGCCCCTGAGGAAAAGGGAACGGATCCAGTGAGTTGGGTGACACTTACCAGACACGCCGCCATATGTGGTGCGCTTGTCTCGGCCGATGCCAGGCCAGGGAGAGCCGTCTGCCTTCAGTCCCATCAGCCCCGAGACCGTGTTGGTGGCAGTGACGCCATCTGCACCACCTACACCCACGGGGATCAGACATTAGCCATGGCAAGGGGGGTAGAGGGGGAGCGGGAAGCAAAATCTGGACCAGGAAAAAGCTGCAGGGCCTGGGCAAACGCAGACAGGGCAAAGCGGGCCCTCGGCCGAGCTGCTACTGAGCCCCCACACTGCCAAGCCATTCCATTACGCTGCTCACGTCTGAAAACTGGCCTGAACGTGCCAATGCTAACTGTCCACACCATACACAAGTGTGTTAATGTCCGTAATAACACTTGACCCTTGTGAGTAAAATGTGAAATTTGTTGATAATCACTTCAATTATTGATTTGTAATAGTTACAACAGTTGAAAGTGAAGAGTATGAAAAGTATGAAGAAGTCAGCTACCTTCCTGCGCAGCTTTGGCAATATCCACAATGTTGGTGACATTGGGGGTCAGCTTGGCGAAGAAAGGGATCTTGACAGCTTGTCGGACCCAGCGGCAGATGTTCCGCACCAGCTCTGGATCCTTTTCAAATGGGGTTGGGAAACAAACAAATAAATAAACAAACAAACACTAGCAACAAAAGAGATTCACACAGCTGAACTAAACGAACAAAACACAAAACAAGGAAACTTGATTTTGGCAATCTGGCAGGGGTCTGTGTGTATGCGTGAGAGAGAGAGAAAGAGAGAGAGAGACAGAGAACCCCAGACCAGTGAGAGAGATAGAGGGATCATATAAGTGTGAACTGCTGCTCCAGGAGGATTCATGCTTTATTAGACATCTCCTGGCCTGTCAGTCTGGGTGTTTAGAGAGAGGAGAGGCCTCTCAGCTTCTGCCCTGCTCACATTCAGTGTAGTTCTGCAGCCTGCTCAAGCACAACCACATCTAAATCCACTATATCCAAACCAACAGTACAACATGGACTAAAAAACAAAACGAAACAAACAAAACAAAACAAAAAACATAAACAACAAAAACACAGCTGAGGCAGCACAATCACACAAAGAAACAGTGCATGTATACACATATTTTGATGTGATGTTATGGAGTAGACATCGACCTCACATCATGTATTTACAAAATACGTTATAGTGCGACACTCCATGTATTAAAACACTACAGTCTGCTAATTAATATAAACAGTTCCTATATCCTTTATGCATGTAATTACACTTTTATCAATAATTATAGGCTTTCGTGACCAATTATGCAACACTAAAGAAAAACTCAACAAGCCGTCATTAAAGACCAAAAGCAACTCCATTAAAAACATCGGGCATCAACAGCATTTTAGTGAAATTATCTCCTACACTGATGAGTTACACCAAGCACATAAGACACTGCAGCCATGCACATTTAGATCACAAGAAACTTGTCATCAGGAATCATTTAAATACAAGGTTTAGGGAAGTAGCAATACATCATATCAAACTGCACTCAAATTATATCATGTGGTTAGTGTGTTAAAGCATTAGAGTGGGACATTACAAAGCACAGCTTTTGTTTAAAGTGTTATAGTTATATAATGTTGAATGCTCGAAAAAAGGTAAACATTAATGTATTAACACAAGGCACATTTTCAGTGACTCATTACTGCTGTATTGAAAAATGTATTGAATCAAGACACCATTGTTTTGAAAGTTAGATTGAGACCCTACAAAGCACAGCTTTTCTTTCAATACCTGCACTCTTATCATGTTTCAGGCTTTAACAAACTGAATATGGAAACATTACTATATTAACATAATGCACATTTTCAGCCACTCGAATTGAGACACCACTGTGTTATATCAAATTGAATTCTGAATTTTGTCTATCACTACATGTCTAAAAAGGTGCTAATATTATTATGAACCGACAATGCATACCTTTTTGACTTGAAGCATAGGCCCAGGCTGTGGTCGCAAATTCTAGGCTTGACTGTACTGACAAAAGTTATCACTATACCCAGTAAGCTACAATGACATAATGGAGATAACACTTATGGGCAAAACTAGGCTAAGGAGACAAATCACTGTCAAACTTTGCTGCAAACAATAGAACAATACATTATATGCTGATCACATTTCATATATGCTGTACGCCATGTTCTCTAGAAACTGATGAATAGCCTCATTACGCCGACATTTTTCAAATGTAGCTGCTTTAATTTAGATGTAATTTTATTTGATTTATTTTCTTCTTTTTGCTGCTGTTTGATGTTTCTTTCATTATCATCCTTTCATCAGAATCCTACATATTCAGACATTACTGCTTTCTCATTCATACTCCACCTTTGTTTCTCTCCATTGGACATACACTTGCAAGTAGACGCTGAACATTCAGAACACACACTTTCTCTCATCCTTGTCCCTGTCATGTCTCTCATCTTCTCCACAGGAAATGGGCTTCTGTTTTGACATATCCAGTAACTGTTAGCACACATCCCCTTGAGCAACGGGTTTTGCTCTCCTGTATAAAGAGGTGCAACTTACAAGGTCCATGTGCAAAATAGAACGATGAGGTCAGTTTCCTGCACAGGGGAAAGGTTAGCATTTGATTTTTAAAACCATTAGCCAGAATTGATTTGTCAGAATAGGGAGCCAAGAAGAAAAACACATCTCCCTGAGACCATTTCATTTCTATTTCCAGGGCATGCTGAGTGATTCAGTGCTGCACAAAAAGGAGAAAAAAAATCACCGCCATTTTCTCCGATGAGATTTGAATGTTGTGCGTTCGCGGATGCGCGTTCTGCTTTAGAGACATGGAGGGAGGGGACGGTATTTGCACCTAAAAATATGCCAAACGCATTCTAAAGGCTCTAGATGGGGGACAGGAAAGGTTACTCCATTGGAGATAAAATTCATTCCTAGCTTTTTCAGAAGATATTGGATTTATGCACTCGTGTCTGCAGCAAGTGCCATCCATAGCAATTTGCCTTGATTTATTCAAGACTTAAACAGGGCATAAACAAGGCTGGAGTGTTGGGTTCAACCAGTCCACTCCGAGCCGTCTGCCAGAGAAGGAGCTGTAATATCTGAGCCCCTGAGAGATGGTTGATAGTGCTGCTGGCTTCCTGGGGAGATTCATTGGTTGATATAGCAGATCCTGAACTCCAGGCAACAAAAGCAGATGTCACCAGACTTTTACAGAAGGCAGCAAGGCACAGAGTGGCACAAATCACAAACCTTCTGTTCTTTGACAAAAAATCCACTTAAAAATGAACGTTGACCAACGTACCTGATAACAGTGATGAGGTACTAACAGAACGAAAGGAAATAATACCGCAGCCACTGAGAAATTACAGCAGTCTAGACATATTGGTAGATGTAACGTCCTAAAACAGTTACAGAGGAGTTATTTCTCCATAATATGAGGTTATAGCAGCCTGACAAGGTTTGTGGAGTGACCAGCATGTGCCTGGTCCCAGTGCAGTCTAGCATCCCGAGGGCATGCCTTTTTATGAGCAGAATGGTGTTAGTCTTTAAGAGGAACAACAAGAACACAGCCGCACAGGAAGCGAGACTGGCCTTCCTCCCAGAGGGTCATGGAAAATTGCATTATGCCTGCTCCAGCAGGAGCGACGGGGTCGTGGCCCGCAGCCAGGCACCAGCCACCAAACAGATGCTGCTTGTAAGAACTCTGCTCTCGCAGTGGGCCTGCGCTCCCTCTGAGGCCTGCCTGTGACAGCTTATTACAGGCCAGATGGGGGCGAGCCTCTGTCTGTGGGCCAGGGAGTCGCCTCCCTCTCCTCTGAGCAGTCCGCTACACGCAGCATTACACGCTTGGCTGAACGGCCGGAGCACCTGTGTGGCTGGCTTACATTTTTGGCAGGGAGACTGCGACCCTTTACTGGCATGAGAAGCTTGGGCGGGACCCGCCTTTAGTGGCCTAAGGCAGAAGAAGCATGGTTTTGGAGAGCGCCCTGTCACAAATGGCACCCCAAACCCTGCGGTCCTCCTCCAAGCAAGAACTTTGGTGATGTCAACCCTATGGGCAAGAGTCTTTGAGGGTGTTGGGTTTAAAAGCGTGCTATGTACATGTATTGGAACAGGCCATGAATTATGAATTTTACCTCACAATGAAGGTGAAATAACTTAATCGATAGATAAAAAGATAGAAAATCTTCTCCGACAGGTTGGCCAGGCAGTTGTAAATGGTAAGCATCATTTAACTGATGTGCAACATGAGCAACCAAATAAAATGAGTGGAGGCAGGCGGTTGTCAAAACAGTGCTACAACAGAAACAGAACCACATGTAAGAAAAAGATGGTATACAATTTAGCTTGATAAACAACAGTTTCCTGTCAGACTGAAAACAGAGCACTGAAGTGAAGATTGTCAATGAGATCTTAGCCATAGCCACCTGATGGTGTGTTTGAACAGTTTTCATAATTTCATAAATTTGTGTATTTTCAAGTTTACTGTAAGCAAGTTGTACAGATTTAAGTTTTCAATAAAAAAGGAGATAAACTCAGTCATTATCTATACTATCCAAATTTGAGTTTGGAAGTGCCACCATTACATCTGCTGATACAGTGTGAACACGGTAGACCAAGCCAGCGTTGGTCCATCCTAGCAGATACAGGTATTGTGAATAATAAATATACCAGTTGCTGATGACCACCGTAATGCAAACACCTGCTAATGGATGTGAGTTGTGATGTGAGAATTTTCCAACTTTATGAGTTGATGAAGACTGAATACAGCAATAGCATATAATACACTTCAGGCAGTCCGTGTAACTCTGTCTGAGGCTGAGACTATGGTAAAGAGGCAGCGTGCCTTGCAGGAACACGGAAGCACTGATCAGACATGGAGAGCTTTCAGCCCCACTGAAGAGCATGCAGCAAAGAAAATTGACCAGCGAGCAGCAATAAGGGCCGAGCGAATTGCATACTGACTCCAGCAGCACTGATCAGGAGGGGAGGCGGCATAGCGAAGGGGAGGTCTAGTATGAAATTAAAGGAGGGCCAGGGTGGCTCCACGGAGAATTCTTTATTTATTTTCCCTCTCCCCACGTGCTGTCACCGCGGGGCAGGTGGAGCCCGGCGTGGGATTCATTTCGGCACAATGGGGGAGGGGGGTGGCGGGGGCGTTAGAGCGAGGAAAAGAGGGGGGAGAGGCAGAAAGGGAGAGAGGAAAGGGGGAGAGTGAGAGAGAAAGAGAGAGAGAGGGGAGAAGGGGTCTTTACCACCCTCAGGCAGGGACAGGAGGGGTGGGGGGGCTGCGAAGAGATAGGGAGCCAGAGGAAGAGGGAAGGGTGGAGGAGGGATAGCGGCTTTACACCTGAAATTTTAATTTTATCGTGCAAGGTCACGGGAGGTGGGCGCTCTTGTTAAGAGCCGGCAAGTCTCGCAGGAGGGATGATGGAAGTGGCGTGCCACCAGGCCCTGTTTGGCGGGCTGAAAATAGCTGTGGGAGCCTGCGCCGCTTTTAATTTGTGAATCCGAGGAGCCGTATTGAAGGCTGGGGAAAATATGAGTTCCCAGTGGATGCTGAGTCAAACCTGAGTAAGAGCTATGAAATAAAGGCTCCTCACACTCGAGAGATCTTTATCTGTCACAAGTACTGAGCCGTTTTATGTGCCTCCTCAACCTGCGATAATAACAACTGTGCTTATGTCAAACGAGAAGGAAAAAAAAACGTTTAATCAAGAACTGTTGAAAAGTAATACATGGCCAAAAATGAATAAACAGTGATAGCACATGCAAGTACATTTAGTGGGACTGCCTTGTAGGGTTTCTGTTCAAAGGGCTCTGAGTACTAAAAACGGCTTAGAAGCTGAATGGCTCCTGATTAGAGCGCGGAAGCGCCAATCCCATTGATCAACAGTAAACAAGATAATGAAATCATTACACATATTTATGTCTATCATAAGTAAACAAAAACTATCTCTAATCTGATGGCAGTTAAACGTTAAACAGCTCTGCAAAAAGAATGAGCATTATACTGTGAAAGCTAAACAAAATGAGTGGGTGAAATTGCATATTAATACGCCATTAAAATCAAATCTCCCTCTCTTTCGTTGTAGTCAGAAATAATGTTTTTCCCTGGCTAGGAAGGGAAGTGCCAAACAGTGTGATTAAATGATATTGCCTCTCTTTAGTTCACACGGAGGTTACCTGCCTGCGGCCCTGCAGCTTTGATTAGCTTTTTGTCTTAGAGCTGAAAATCTACAGCAAACGGATATAACTCTTTGAATTTACAGCCAATGCAGTGGAAAACAGCTCTCTCTGTAAGAATGGAGAGTCATAATCAGAAAATCAAGAAGGAGAAGCATGTGTTCTGTTCATCTATCTGTGCCAGATAAGAGCTAAGATGTATGGTAATATACAGTGGGATATGTTTGTCTTTCAAACGCCTTCATTACTTATACCACCTGTACATCTTATTCATCATGGTAGACCATTCCAAGACTTGATAAAACAGAACCATTAGGCTGAGATGTACTGCTTTATGGGCAGACTTCCATCCAAAGGATTTTATGTGGAAAATGTTACAGGCAATGGAAACGGCAATTATGTGTAATATTTTATAAATATCAACTTTTATTTTGTTCGACCTCAGCGACAGAAAGGTTTTTGACAGGAATTACGCATAAATTTAATGTGACAAGATTTTCATCACCTCTCGTTCGACAAAACAATAAAGCAAACCACAGCAGGGAAGGGATCTTTATTCCTTGTGCAAGCCTTGCTGATTCACATGTGCAGTCTTTGTCTTAAATATGGCCTATAACACATTAAAAGGACAATTTCTTGCATCCTGTGAGCAGAATGTTGTTGACTGTGGTGATGGGTGGAAACGTAAGAATCATAGTTTTCTGCGTGTTCACTAAACTTTTGTCACACTGAACAGTGGGCTATGGAAAAGGCTAATTAAACCAACCAAAAGAAAATATGCAGAACTTGCAATACAAGTGAAATTCTAGATGTAAGCACAACTTTTTTTATTTGAAGGAAAATTTATGCAACCGCAGTTTTAAGCACTTTTATAACTCATTAAAGTCGTAAATTAATGTAATAGAAACAAGCTGCCAGCATTTTGCTGGAATTTACAAACATTTTATTTTTTTTCCTTAAAAAATTGAAATAAATTTCATGAAAACGTAGCCTAACCTAGTTTACCGTACAACTACATCAACCATCCCCCTCCTTCACAGAGTAGCAGACAAATTCAGTCTAGAGATGACAGAAGAGCTGGTACTTTGATGTGAAGTCAATACCATAACAAATGCAACAACTAATTGTGAGCAATATATGATGATATTTTATCATTATTGTGATAAATTTTGTCATCCTGATAAACAATATATTTTTCTGAGTTTAACGTGGATATCGTCCATACTTAAAGAACACTTAACAACTGCACATCACGTTACAAAGAGATAATAATAAATTTAAACCCCTTAAATGGCCAGGCCCACTAGTGGGTCCAAAGTTTTACTACACACTCCTATAACCTAAGAATAACCGGTCCATGTAATTACTGAGTAATAAGACTTAGTTTGTAATAAGTCTGGGATTTTAAAGGTATAAATAAAAATCCCAGTTTTTCATAGCAGTTTTAAATCTTCTAAATCTTTGTGATAAAATTTCATAAAACGTCATGTATTGTGAAAACTGATTTAAGCATTATGACATAATATTTTTTTCCATATCGCCCACCTCTAGCTAACTACTTTTTTAAATAACTAACAGTAATACTCTATGGTATCGATACTACCATAGTTCCACATTCCTGTCTAACTGTATGCAGAAGAAATCTCGCCAATGCAAGAGGAAAACAATGACAATGCCTAAATATTCTGCTGCAGTGATTCCACCACCAAATAATACTAATCAAGAAGCAAAGCAGATCTCACATATCCAAATACATTGTGAAAAGGGGAACAGGGCAGAAACTGATCTGAAGTGTTTTTGGTTTGTGTTGTGTCATTCAAGTATTTATTTGACCTGAATAAAAAAAAATTAAATTGCTTGTTACCACATGAAGTAACTTTTTTAGGTTAAACTGCTTTTTGTCAATGTACTCTGCTTTTGAGAATAGATGCAAATCTGCAAAAAACATTTGCAGGCAATGGCATTGACCCTTTGGTAACTCTTTAAATTAAGCGATGAACCTGAAAGACCAATGTGAAGGACCTCAAACAGGTCACATTCCACACAGCCTGACAATTAATGACGTGTTAGAAAAAGTGTTATGATCCAAAAATACACATATAAAAAGTCCAAAATTATCAAAATTCTGGTATTGTGACATCTCTAATTCAGTCAAGTGTCTAGATAATTGCAAAACCGTGTGATTGGTGTTCTCCAAGTCTGTTGAGCATTTGACAATGTTGTTTAGTGGATGGTAGAATCACATGCAGTTCTCAATAACTGGTTGTGTGATAGTGTGATAAGGACAAACACAATTAATATGAATTTGTCTACGCACAAATTGGGATCTTGAAGTCTTACTATATTGCAAGTTCAAAAACTACATTGCACTCGACCACAGTACTCTCCAGTGTGGAGCAAAGAGGCCACAGCTTTGGCTAGACAAACTTTGTTTCAGATCGTAGTCATTCAGCTGGATGTGAACGGCAGAGCTGCAGTCTTTGTCTGAAAGGCCGACTCTGGAAAGGCAAAATCCACACACTGAGATGTGAAAGCGTGGCTGCTGAGTGATGGAAGCTCCTCGGCGGTGAGGGCCGACGCTGATGCTTCAAACGGGCTTTCATCTTTTTACTCGGGAGCGCTGCTTTGCATTTTATGACTTTGTTGTTTTAGTGATCTGACACGGTGTGTGGCTGCCAGAGCAGGTTTTCATGTCATTTAGTTGACCACTACAGACTCGGTGACAAGCTGTGTCAAATGCGTTTAGAGGGAGAAAGCACAATTTCCAATGCACAAGCAGACAAATAAACCAACGCTCAGATTTAGCGGTTTGCAACTGTGCAGAGGTAATCCAAAACATGGCATGTGATATTCCATCTACATATGAAGCCCTCAGAGGAAAAACAATGCGCTTCTATACACTATCATAAGTACATCTAGAATCAAGATGTTTTTGCGCTTTTAACATTGACTGGGGCTGTAATTGAAGTCATAAACAAGGATGTATTTTGTTCCTGTGTAATACGCATCATGCGCTTGCAAAAGAAAAAAAAAGTTGCTCCTAATCCTCAACAGACAAACGCTACATTAATCCTAGTGAATGGCATTTCTCATATGAAAGAAAACTGTTTACAAACCGCAAAAGAAATCATTTATGGATTATTAAATTCCGTTAATGCTATGGAAAAGGTGTATCATTAAGAACCAAATGCAAAATCAATGCTCCACTGGAGTAGAGACACATTAATAATAGGTGTTTGCGGTGCTTGATCTCCCTACAATACCTGTCTGTTCACAGCTGAGACAATAGGTTTCATTTCATTCAGAGTCATACACAGAGGGATGCATTTCATCTCAGACATGACTACAGCTTCTCCATGAATTTCTAACTAAAAGGAACTATGTTTTGACACTGGTATTCAGCATTTGTACAAAATCCTCAAAGATGAACATTTTCCATCTTCATCAATAAGAAATACTCTCTTTTATAATGAAATATGGTATTTCTAGAAGAGAAAATTGGCACGTTCACCAATTTAAATCAGTCTCTAGAAAGGTATTCATAGCATTCAGAGGTTATAGATAAGCATATAGAGAATATATGTGTATTTTTAGCAACATCTGTACTTGGATTCAGCACAAGCCTGGGTAACGGTTGGGCTCGGTGTATATACGATTAGATCAGTAGTCTGGCTGCACATACTAACTGACTAGCCTGGCTCTTAGTGAGAAAGTGCAAACTCCTCCAGGCTGACTCTTGGTATGTATGAGGTGTAGAGTGAGGTGTGCTGGCCTTACCTGCCCGCAGGCCAGTCCCATGCCCCTCTCGCCCATTCCATGAGGGCAGGATAAATTCAGCTCCAGGGCATCAGCTCCAGAAGCCTGTTCAAGGGGCACATTTATGCAAGAAGTTATTTCAACACACTCAATGCATTCTTGCTTTTTTTTTTTTTTTACAAATAAAACTATGGAGCTTTGATCTGAATCCATATGCGAGTCTGCCCATTGCAATATGAATCATGCAAAACACTTGTGGTTTGGAAAACAACAATCTAGTGATTCAGTTTATTAATCACGCCATGTCCAAAAAGCTTACAGCTGCTCAGGAAAACAGAAAGCACAAAGCCTCTTTTCAAGAAGAGGCGCGCGTGCCGATGAGAGACACCAAACAACGGTGACTGAAACATTAGGCCTAAAATAGATCAGACAAATCATAACTGTTCCACATGGATGCGCGGGAGACGCCGCACTGTATGTAGACTGGTGGAGTGGGGCGTAGAAAGCGGCTGAGCAGGAAAGGCGTTTGACAGGCAATTACATATCCATGGGGGCTTTAAACCACATCACATGGGGGATTTAAACAATTACAAAAAGCTCTACAAACCTGCCAGAGTGACTCCAGCTGTAGATTTATGATTTGCCGCAGACTGACAGCCATTAGAGGGAGAAAAGAAGAATAAGTATTTTAGCCTTACAAAGTGCAGAGGAGCAAGTGGCAGGATGAAGCCATTTATCATAGTCAGCCGGGGAGAGGAGGAAGCCGTGGCAGCCCCGGATTAGGCTCCAGATTTCATGGTCAATTAGGGCCAAATGCAGGTACAAAATGGACACAATGTGCCGTGATCCCAAAGCCAATTATCAATAATGTTTAATTTCACCCGGCTTCCTTTAAGCCCTTTATAGGAGGAGGCTGGCTGCCTCCTCCTTTCCTCCTTCCTCCACAACAAAGGACCACACACACAATGAATTAAGCGCTATCATTGCAGATCACAATAAGCAGCTTTGAGAGGGAAGACAGCAAGCAGGCTATTTGATATTGCAGGCTTAGCAGAAAAGGGAAAGAAGAAACAAGTCCAAAATATAGCAAAGCAAAACAAAACCAAGCAAGGGGAGCGAGCGAGCTGGGTTAGTTTGGGTTCTGCCTGCAAAAAGAAGAGCCTCCTACCCTCACTTCATCCTTAAAACCACTCCTCAGGGGAGGACAGAAAAGAAAAGGTAGGAACACAGAAAAGGAGACATAGAGAGAGAGAGAGAGAGAGAGAGAGAGAGAGAAGGGACAGACAGAGAGCAGAAAAAAGAACAAGAGGCTTAGTGCCACAGTTCCACACCTCTTATCCTAATCCCATAGACACGCGCACAAACCCAAATGTAAACATACCACTGTAACCCACATTTCAGCACAGGCATGCCCTGTGGATGATGATATATACTCCTCATATGCTGCATGAATTGTAAATGCACAACCCATGAAGCCCACCGTAAGCATAGGGAAATACAGCCCAGCGTGCGCATTAATATTTATCCACAGTTCTCCCAAACATTCATTAGTAGATGAGGGAAAAGGCAGGAAAAAAAAGAACAGAAGCTTGCTTATAAAGGTACAACACCTAAAGACCTAAATACCCTTTAATGATCATTATAAGATAAATTAGAAGCAAGCATCAAAATGAGCATCATTAACCAACACGTGTCTAAACTGTTGTTTCCAAATTGGCTTCTAAACTCATTCATTAAAATGCAATGTATGCAGAAGTGCGCTTTATTACAAAAGCCATAAGCATGCATGAAGCCTAAGTGGAAATGTGATCATGAAGGCTTCAATATTCATGTGCGCATCTTGAACATCACAGGCTTAAAAAAAAGCACCATTTCTCGTTTAATCCTTCTCGTAGTTGCTTCAAGGAGCAGACCGCTGGAGACGAGTCTTAAGGATACGCTCCACAAAAAAAGCCACAGGCCTGGAGCAGATCTTTATCAGAGCTGACACTGCCTTTGACATGGGCTATCAGCTCCCAACTTGATAAGGAAAACATTACCTATCCCTGTCATACACTTTGGAACATCAAGGATGGTTTGATCTCGGGGGGGTTTTGGGAGCATGATAGCAAAAGTGGGGTAAAAAAACACAGACACGCTTACTCTACAGTTGGAAGAACAGGCACGGGAGATGCTGCAGGACAGAGAGACAGACAGAGAAATGTAACAGAAGCCGGGAGGCAGTCGGCTATGACTCGAATGCTCATTTTGAAGCAGAGGAAACCCTGCGCTGTGCAAGTCTGCAGGCTGGTACGCAGCCTTTTGAGTGACAAGCGTCAAGACTTTCATTAGCTCAACCTCACATATTCATGATGGTGCTAGGGCTAGGCCTTTCACAAACACTTCATATCCACCAGCTGATTATCAGCATTACTTTTAGGCAACTAGTTTTAGGAGCCCCGTATTCCTTTTTTATCATTTCACAACTTTAAATGGAATAAAATGGGAATAGATCATGGAGAGAGTTTGACATTTATGAATTATGGTCTCTGGCTCATGGTTATGATGCAATATTACTCTCAAAGGCAGAGATTTGTGCGTGCATGGGGGCAGGGCAGCAGAAGTGAGGTGGCAGCTGAAAGCAGAAAATGGTTTACTTCAGGCTGACACTTTAATGATGGGAAAAGAGGCATGGGGGGGTCAAAAAAAACTTTTAAGTTGTGTCCTTAGGCAAGGAACAGTGTTAAGTGTTCCCTTACAGATTTCAAAGTGAATGAATGGGTGATTCTCCTTGAAACTGGAGTTGCCATGGTAACCGGGCTTTTATTTTATATTTGCCAGCAGAGGTAACTAAACAACGTGCTTTGGATGCGAGGATGATGAGGAATTCGGACCGCCAAGAAGGGTCAGTGACTGACAGAGAGGCTACCAAGAATGGAACAATCTGATCTCCTCTTTTCCTTTTTCCTCCACTCCTTCCATCTCCAGCAGTATAGCTATCCTGCCTCTTCCTGCCCACCCTAAGGCATGGCAGTCTGAATGCGAAGAAGACCTGGGCTCAAACTATACCTGCCTGTAGGGTACTTCTTCTGTAGAGCCGGGTTAGAGTACGTAGCTGCTACGCAGCTGGGTGATGGAGGTAAGCTCCTGAAAGCCAGAGTGACACTGCCGTCTACCCTAAAGCAATGTACTCACCCGGGCTTAGATCAGCGTGTGGGCTGCTTTATGAATATACAATATGCAAACGGTACCTGAACCTGGCTAAGGGGGCTGCCAGGCAAATACGTAATGACAGTAAAATAGAAAGCTAGAGGAGGAGTGGGGGGGCACTACCAGATGTCCATCTTTTTCGGAGGGGAAGAGGGGGTTTTGGGTGAGCTTGACAGGTCCGGTTTAATGAGGTATAACAGAGAGCGAGAGCGTCAATGAAATCGATAGCAGAATTAACACATTGACATGTGGACCTGTTTACTTTCTGACATTTTCTGTGCACAATTAAGCACCTGAGATATGAGAGTCAACTCTGATTAATCCAGAGGCCACCAAACTGCCTCTCTCTATTCCCATTCAAAATATCAGCTCAGTGTTTAAAAGTGTGATATATACATAAATATTTGCGGCGTGAGTATGTGCGTGCGCGTGTGCATTTATGTGTGCATGTGCGTGTTCCAGAGTGGGTCTGCTGGGGCTAGGTTTGACTGACAATGGGAAAGGACAGGGGCTGGAGCGCTCGTGTTCACAGATGGAGGAGCCTGAAGAAGTCTGGCCTGAAGACGTCCTCTCCTCCCCCTCTCTGCTCTCCTCCGTCACTGTCTCACTCCTTCTCTGGCATCTGTCTCATCCCTCTCAGCCTCTTGGCAGCAACAAACCAGTTGGGCCTTATAAACATTTGCCTAAATGTAGCACGCTTCAGATCCAAGATTAATTGCCACCGATTCAATATTTGGGGTGTTTATGCAATAACAGTGAATGTTGCTTTTGCAGTTTGGAAAGGTGTGGTACATCACACTTTTCTCTTCACTCCCCAAGCAATGGTTATGCAGGCAGTGTTATCAAAAGAGCCAAATTATCAGTGAGGAAGGGGGGTATAATTTCACAACTGTGCATGTTGGTAAATTAGCATAACAAAGACTCACCTCTGCCATTTTGGCAAGCTCAGTCCAATCAGCTTTGTTGTAGCTGCACATTATGCTGGAAATGATAATCTATGGCAGAGAAAGAGAAAGAGAGGAGGGGATAGAGAGAGAGGTTGGAACAATTCAGAGATTCTAACCACAGATGCACTTTATGTTACACAGCAGACTTAAAAAAGGTCCATTCTGATGTGTGCACAAATGATCATCCCTCTTGTCTTGTTTTGCCATGTTACAAAATGGGTCTGAAAGCTATTACCTTGACCTTAAAAAGTAACTGCATTGTCCTTCTCCTTCTTTTAAGTCACAAAATCAATATTTATAATTTACAAGATCAGACCAAATCCACCAGCATGCTGGCGTTATTAAAACAATAAAAAACATCATAGAGAAGGTATTAGCTAAGAGCCCCTGTTCTACGGCTGGATTACGCTGCGCCATTTTCATTTTTCTCACTCTGACACACTATAAGCCAACTATAAAACATGCTGTGGAGGACCTGCTTCTTAATATCACCTCCTGGTTTTAGGTAATCACAGATATAAAAAGGCTTCGATATAAAGTGCAAACAAATTGCAGGTAATGAAGAGTATGTCTAATACACAGAGCACATTTTTCCAGCTAAGTGAAGACACTGGGTCAACATTTCAGCGCACTGTCTCACTTATCCGGATTTGTTAACCCTGTTAAACACAGGCGTGTGCCATTATGTGCCTAGTAGCTGTAGAAATCAGTGCAAAGATGAGGGAAATAAGGTTCGGTTCGCATTTGTGCTTCATACCCTTACGCTCACCTTTTTAATTACATCTAAACCTGGTTTTAGCAAATGACCATGACTTATTTGTGGCAGCGATGAGGAGGAGATGCCAACAAGACGGAATGTGCCGGCCCTAACAAAAGGTATCTAGGGACACTAAGGGAGAGAAAACTGATTTCATGGGAGGATATTAAACTCGGAGGATGTGCTCTCCCCTAGGACAAATTTCCGCCAGATATAAATCTCTGGGGCATTAGGCTTCCCCAAAAGCACCACACAGTTAGGGACTAAGTACAGACCACCTACACAAGAGCAGAAAATATTGCCAAGTTTTAGAGGGCAAATAAAGTTAAGCACCCTGACATTTACTGCTCAGATTTACCAAACAACGGTGACATATAAGCGATATTTGATACACCCTGAAATAGTGTTTGGTAATATTATCGTAAAGCCAAGGCAAGCAGAGAAATACAGAAGAGTTGCTGGAGAAGACTGAGATTACTAGCCTCCATTGAGCCCGTTTCATTTTGGGTGCTATGGAGGTGGTGAGTATTCTATTTTGATTTGAGCTTGACCTTTGACCACTTAAACTTCACATTATGGGAAGGAGGCCCTTGAAAAGGCAGAGAGGCATCCACTCTCCAGTTTATTAAAGACAATCCGGGCTGAAAGCACAGTCAGACAGGCAGAGCAAGTTAAAAAGAGAGCCGTGGCTGTGGAGGCTGGGAGAGGAGTGGGATTACCTCGTTATCAGCTCAATAACCCTGCTCCCAGCTCCTGCCTCCAAACACACAGCACACTGTAACAAAGCGTCTCCATGGAGATCAGTCACCTAGAGCCTGTCACTCGCCAAAGATATGAGCACGTTTCAGAGCGCTGGCGCCCACCCCTCCTTCACGCCGTGCAGCGGCCGTTCACTTGTAATAGAGGGGAAAAATTGAAGCATTGATGACGACAATCACAGCAATTTGTCCGGGAAGCTCTGACCTGTAAGGGCTGCAGCTGCAGTTTAGTGGGTTTGGCGGCAGACTGTTGCAGTGGAATGAAAATGCCTCCCCTGTAGCAGGGCTGCTTGCACGAGAGCGTGGCCGCTCCAGGAGCAGGGCAGTCTGACCCACCTATTCCACTGACAGATGGAAATCGCTTGTGCCAGAAAGCAGATTTGATTTCCTTTTAAAGCAACAGTTCAGCAGGCAATGAAATTTACTAAAATTTCCCCTTACCCCAAATGCAGTACTGGAGCTACACAGTACTGTTACATATAAAACGGACAAAACTATATGGCATAGCTTAAAACAGTAGAACAACCATCTGAAAGTCTTTTGTCCATTTTCATAGATAACATATGGTGTGAGAAAACATGTAAGTAACTTTACTGGAGATTACTCGAGGAGATGCTTTGGCCAAAAAAAAAAAATACATTTACACAATTTTCTGCTCACTCCAGTTCACTGCATGTTTGGTGTCCAAAGTTTGTTTCTTGATTTACACTGGAGCTACAAGCAACGTGCAAAATACAGGGGGGTCCCAGAGGGTCCACGACCCTCTAATTAATCTTTTGGACCCCCTGCATGTTTCTAAATCAAAATTCTTGGGTCGCTGAAAATAAACCTATTATGTTATGCTGTCTGGAATATTTTTAGGGAAACATAAATGCTTCAGTGTGATTGCTGAACACTGAATGCACTATGCTAAATGTATTCAGTGATGTATTCTGTTACTATATATAAAAAAGTAACGTATTCAGAATACACTTTGAATACATATAGAATACATATTAATAAGACAGATCGGAAAATTCTGCTGTAATTTTTATTTAATTCACACTGTTTCTCACTATTACTGGTTGGCAGTTTTTCATGTAATATGTTTATGGAAAATCTGTTTATCATTTAAGTTCTGAAATTTTTTTCCTGAAGTTTTTTTTTCTGTCATCATCAGCTTCAGTCCACTGCTGCTCCCACAATCCCCCAAGAAGGTGTCCAGTACAACACTAATGCTAATCACTCACAAACATGTTCACTACTAAGGAGATTATTAGTTTGATCATCCCTCAAAGGAGTTTACTAACATTGACAACTGGCTCATCATGTTGATTTATCAGTCTACTCAGGTTTTAGCAGAGCTCAGTAACACAGAGTAATAACTGATCAGCACATTGATTTGTCTGTCTACTCAGGCTTTAGTCGGATCTTCAATGTTTGTAAAGAAGCCATTAACTGAGGTTCTCTTTAGAGTTCATCCATTGAGCATGTTTGCTATATGCCATGTGCTGATTTCAAAATAATAGTTAATAAACAAGCACTGATAGTGTTTCTTTTGAAGATTTATTTTTATTTAGTGGAGAAGTATTCTCCTAAAATGTAAAAAGTAACTGTATTCTGAAAACTGCCTTTACAAAATGTAACCTAGACCGAACACAGATACTTAATTTCTGTATTCTGAATATGTATTCCCGATACCTGTATTGCTACATCCCAACCCTGTTAACAACTGTAACAATTCCCAGCACATATCTGAAAAACTACAATATGCCATAGTATATTTGTAAATCTGAAAACTTGCCCAATTTTCCAAGATATGGGAGGAAAAACTGAATTGTTACTCATTTCTCAGACCAAAGAAGATCTAATAATTAATTATGGAATTAATGTGTGGAAGACCACATTAACAAACTAGAACAGGGTATTTCCAAAAAAATTCTGAAACCAAACATTTTGTTGCCATTGAAAACATCAATGTCGCCATGGCGAATGAGTTAGCAGCCAGTAAAGCTGCTGGAGTAACCAGCCAGCACCAGACCCCCAAATACCAGGGGGTATTTCGCACACTGGCTACAAGGCTAATGCAGCTGACAAGTAATGGAAGCTTATACCCTCCAGTTAGCACTGTTGTTCAAAGTGCATACTTACATCATCACTAGCCTTGGATACATAACTGATATTATTCAATTGGTCTTTTGTTCTTTTTCATGTCACATTTTTTCGATTTGCCTTTATGTAGCTTTTACCTTTATATAATCATTGTAATCTATGGTTAGTTCAAATGTATAACAATGTATACTGTAGAAGGCACTTAATTACAGAAACTCACTAACTAATTAACTTAGTTACGTATACATACATATTTGAGTGACAGATGGAAAGATTATAACATTGGTTTTTGGTCTGGCAAAGTATGTAGGGGAAAATGCAATTAAATAAAGAAACTCTGGTACATGAAATCTGCTCTCCTGTAGAGAGTAAAATGGATGAGCTTATCCAGAAGAAGGGTCCAATGAGTTTGGCAATATTTTGTTTTTCAAAATATTTCATGCCATCTGGGCAGAATATAGTCATTATTACATAGTGGTTAATATTAGTTAGTGCAGTTGGTAACCATACGGCAGTTATATTACCATCATGTAAAATGGGGGATATTTTAAAGTTGGGGGTGCTGAATTTTTAGCAGAACGTGCATCATGATGTTATGCTAAATGCTATATTTATTTGTTTATTTGTCATTGGAATTTTGAATAACATGAAAGAGGATGAATCATAACGCAGATATGCATGTGACCGACACATAATCTGCTGATGCACACCCTGCTGTCCCTCCTCTTTCTTGCTGGATGAACTTTATGCAAATGAGCTGAGCGCCAACCAATCAGATTGTTGATACGAGGCACGGAAACCACTTGTGTCATGCCCATAATCCAGCTACACATGCACATCTAGCAGCAGATAACTGCATGAGCAAAATCCAAACTTTACCATACTAAAAGTACACACGGTTTTCTGATCAAAACATTTAAATGTTTTGTTTTTTTTTAGTTTTCTGCTATTGTTTTTAGGAGATATAGTCAAATAATTCTGAAATCTGGATGCTGCAGTACCTTCAACTATAGAGTAAGGCTCTGTAACAATAACGTAGTAATTTGCGAATGAATTTGGATCACAATAATATTGTTCATCGCACGAATTCTGCCATAGCCATTTGTCTAACTTTACATCATCACCTGAGCTTAACACCACATATTTCAGTAACTTGCTACTGGGGTTTCTAAAACTGCATGACATACTGGTAACTATAAAAAGGACAAAAGTATGCTTACACAGTATAATTAATTAGTCACCAAAACTTTAAATTTTTGAGATTACTCAGCCAGCCAACATGGTCTGAAGCAAAAGTGGGATGATTTTGGTACACAATTTGCTTGATGCTAATTGGTGGGGTATAAGCTTCCATTCCTTGATAGCAACAGCAGCCTTACAGCTCTAGTGAAACACTAAAAAAGCAACCTCTGAACACCAAACATGTCTTAGCTGAACGACTGCATTTGGAGTAAAATATGTTGATTTTTTACCCAGCTAGTGCTTTAAATGTGTACACGCGCACTAAACTGCATGCCCCCTTACACACGCTAACAGCCAGCCACACATGAATGTCTGCACACATACATGCACATACGTGCACAAAGACCTTGCAGTCTTTGTACTGAAGATGTTTCCATTCAAGCGGCAGTGCAGATGCTGGGTGCAGTGGGAATCCTTGAAAAAGGAGTGCTGCTCTCCACTCTCTGTTCAGACACATCTCAGCTGTTTTCATCTTCTACACAAAAGCTCCAGGAGTGAATGCTGGACATCACTTCCATTAGTGCTCTCTCTGATTGCAGCCAGAAAGTCTGCCACAAATCAATTAATCCTTTGATATATCTTGAGCACAGAAAAGAAACTGAGCCTCAGAAGCCAACAAATGAGTTGTCATTTTGTAATTTCAGCCAACATATGCTGTTTCTTCTGCATAAATACAAGAGGGAGGGAAAAAAACTGAGTTATGAACCAGGTCCACACCATAAATATTTGGATTTCATTAACAAACATGAGCATTGCATTACTATGAATAATAAAAAGGACATTGAGGAATTAATACTGAAATCATATTCAAATTTTATGACTTGAAAACCAAACCACAGAGGAGAAACTGGAGATAATTAGCTACCAAAGAGAGACTCATGCTGCTCACTGTAGTCACAATGACTTTGTAATACATCTCTTTGCATGAAAACATCAGGAGGTTGAGATTAAAGAAAAATTATCTTGGGTTTTGAATAGATTATGACAATCACCTTATTTACTGATTGTCTGCTGTTTGCAGCAATGATAGCAGGAGCGCTAACTTAAACCTTACATCTTTATAAATGATTATGGTCCTTGCCTGCACATTTCTCTAATGCACAAAACTGAGAACACTCAAGCAGTAGTGAAGGGACATAAGAAACATTCTGTGTTACAATGAAAGCTGCTGATGGTATCCATTTAGTGGTAAAAAGGCATGTGGGCCACCTTTCACTTAACTGCTAGAGTTTTTCAGATAGCAACAATATTGTGACCAAAAGTCTATAACCACTAAAACATAAACTCACAGCTAGTCCTGGGGAGGCTGTTACAGGAGTTCCTGCCCTGGAATTTATAAGTAACACTTAATTGTTACTGCAGGTTTAATGTCAGTGTCACAGTTCAAATGGATAATGCATATAACCCAATGGTACTATTCTTTAACGGTTCTTGAATGCTGAGAGCTCTGAAGGACTCTGAAAGATTGAATGAGGTTTATGTTAATGGAAAAAAATGACAATTGAGGCACAAACTAACAAATGCTATGCCTTAGCGTGCTTACTTGTTTTTATACAAGCTGCCTCATAGCACACAGAGCACAGAAATGGAAGGAATGGAAGTTGACGTATCAACACCAAAGATGACGCCAGTATGATCACTTCAATTCACAGATGATCTGAGCTGTAATTTCCATGTGACTGAATTCAAAGAGATAACTGGAACAACAGTGCTAATAACTCCAGTCACTATCTCATACAAATCATCAGACCAAAAAACAGCAATTCCTATTTGCACTGCTATGAACCCAGAAAAAATGACACTGACTCAAAAACAAGCATCAGAGTTAGCTGGGGCTTCCCATTTTCTGAGAAAAATGTCTAGATGGGGATTTCTCTATAAAGTTCACTTGGACATATGTAACCTCCTGGTGTGTTCAGTAAACTGCTGTATCTGTACAGTGTGTAGGTTTTGTGTACTGAAAGAGGTTCTTACATTGTGAGGAAAGTCCACCTTAAGCTCGGTCACACTTTGGCACCAGTAGGCGGCGGTTTTCTCGCTGATCAGCTCGATGTTGAGGAAGGAGCCTTGAGCTGGGCCATACATAGGGCCTGACGTGGTTCCACGCACAATCCGAGGAGACACGTTGGTGACCAGATCCTGGACAGCAGAAAAGTTGAGAAGCATCATAAACAATGGACTGAAACTACCACAGCAGAGAGCAATGCAGAACACTACTGCTCAGCCTCCTGTTCTGTGACCTCACACCAGCTCATTGTAAAGTGTGTTAATGAAGCACATCTGTAGAGCAGCAGGCACTAATAGTACTCGCTTAGTGCTCCCGTTCTGCTTCAGCAGGGGTCTCCAGTGGAAGAGCAGCACTGGACATATGCTCTAAGGTAATTATTTATCTGTAAAACACCATAAAGAAGACAATTACTGTCCTACTATCACTAATGCACATGAAACAAATTCAATAGTCTTACTTCTCTCTCTCTCCCAGTTTCTTAAGGGGGCTTTGAAGCTGAACTAAGTCCATATTTATTTATGCACCAAAGCAAAATGTTCGAAATACTACCAAGTAAATGAAGACCCTATGAAAAGTAAGTCATTTTTCTATCAATTCACATTTATTACGAAATACAGTGGTGCTCTCTCTGGCACTGTGCCCTTGACAACACTGAATGAGTTCCTCAGAGAGAGTCAGAATCTCTTACCTCGCAGAGTTCCCATCTACGACATGTTTGCTCTGTACTACAAACACATACTACATCAAACATGAACCCTAGGCTGTAGAATTCTACAGAGAGACAGAGAGACCAAGCCAAAATGCCATAATGCCCAGCTTTAATTAGATCTTTGTGAGGTGGAAACGCTTATGTGCAGTCTTCTTCCTCAGCTGGACAGTAATCAGTCCACTCAGTACATTAGAGCGCTAGTGAAAGAAGCTGGCAGCCACACAAGGCTAATGCTGCAAGCGACCTGCTAATGGCTTTGGCAGATCACAGAATGCTGCCATCCACCACTCCAAATGCAAGGTCACAGTGTAAAGCTAACAGCCCAGTGCTGCCAGTGGAGTTATAAAACGTGGTCCATTTGGATTTAGGTTGCACAATGCCAGCAAATTCAATATACTGCATGAGTTGAGGCTACTCTGTGTGTATTATCTGGATTTGTGGCCAGGAGGGTCATAATGCCACATAGAGAACCGATACGTAGAGAATGCAGGGTAAAAAAAAATAAAAATAACGTCTTTAATTTCATGTACAGAAGAGAGATTAACTTCCCTTCAGTGTTCTGTAACTTTGCTTGCAACATCAATTAAAATGATAAAGTCAGATTACCTACAGTGAAACTGACAGCTTAATCCACGCTCCTCGGATAAACTGTCCATCACAATTCAGCAGTGTAGGAGAACAATTTGCATAGCCCAATTAGGGCCTACCCTTACAAAACAATTTAGATAATAGAGCGCTAACTTAATTTTACAACATTTAGACAGTTTTCCAGCTACAGAGACAAGAAACTTTAATTGCTGCTAATTAGATCTAATTAGCATAAGTTTGATTAGAAGGAGAAGAGCTAGAGCTTTTTCTCTTGCTTTCTTTTATCAGCCAACAGAGTTCTAGGCAGCAATACTTATCACATTATCTTATTTATTTACTTTTATTTATTTATACACACTAGGTTTCACAGAAGAGCATAGAAAGCCATCTGAACGTCTTCTGTCTGATCTGAACGCATGCATGAGACCGGATTCAGACTGAGGAACATTCAAGGAGATGTGTGCAGGCTATATGTGCCACAGACACATTTGGAAATTAGGAAGGCACTGTTTCATGTTAAAATGAACTGAAATGATATTTTCAATTGCACACGCATCTCACTGTGAATTTTCCATCAAGAGATGCAAATGCACAAGCGCTTCTTTTCCAAAAGCTGTTGCTGTCTTTGGTGTAGCATCACTGTGGGATGAGTGACAGTTTGGGATGTGGTCCATGGTTGTGAATGAAGATGTAACCCGTTTTTTAATGGAAGTGCAGTGCCCCTCCAGTGAAGGCTCTATGGAGAATTGAGACAGTCATCCCAAGGGCTCGGGGCGAATCTGTAAGTCTGTATTTAATGAAGCTGTGACCAGGGAACATTTGGCTGCCGGCGGTCTGTATTATCAGGCCAGGGCGGAACAAGAGTTTTAATATTAAGCAACTGGAAACCATGAAAATTGCCCAAAGGGAGCAGACTGGCACGCTATGGAAACAGGTGCCACACACAGCATGAGATAAGACACACATACACACTCATACACACGCATTCACATACACAACCACTCCACATAACTTTCCGCACATTCCTAAATAACCGTACAGCCTAAAGCAAACTGGATTCCCAAAGATGGCTTCAGTTGAACATGTGACATATATGTATTTGTAAACGTGTGCGAACATGGCAAAAAAATGGCAAAAAAATAGCACCATGATACTTGGCTTTTATGAAACACAATACATGTCACAATATTTTGTTTGATAATTTGAAATAAACACAAATCACCACAAAAAGAGCAGTATCAGATTTCAAAAAATGTTTTTTTTTATTCAATGTTTACCATGCAGAGTAACACTATATTAAGGGTGAGCAATATGCCACAAATATAATATCTGATACTTCAAGAATTTTTCATGATGCTTGATATGTCACAATATTTTTTTGACATCTCATAAGTTGGAACAGACAAAAAGGAACTAGCAGTGCCACATTTAAAAATACTTTAAAAAACTGTGAGTACAAATGACATTTCACATATCATGCTGCACTAAATCCAATTAACCAGGACTAATTATGCTCTTTTTGTCAAGAAACATGGAGTTGGTCAGTGCTTTAGGAGTACATATGATATACATTATATGCTCAGAAAAGCATATTGTCACATATTGTGATGTAATTAATCACGATAACAATAAATATCACCACATTGCCCACCCCTACAAAATATCTGATTAAAATTGAACAATTATGAGGGTTTCAAATTACAATCTCCCGACAACAGAGCAAAAAACAGCTATGCCTCTGGCCACTCACCTAAACCTCTTTGTAACCTGTTTCTGCAGCCCCCTTAGTGGCCATCCCACTGGTGGAATGGAAACCAACTAAATTTGTAAAATAAAATAATGAAATAAATGTTGTTTTATCCCTGTAACACTGCAACCAGATTGACTAGGACACTTTTGGCCCTCTGTGGGTGAAATGTTGTGACTCTGAGTTGAGCTGCTTGTGAGCAATGAGGAGATAACAATGTATTCCTCTCTATAAAGACAGCCGTGCAGAGATAAAACAGACAGCACAACTTTAGTGTTTTGATAAATACAAAATGTATACAACTGCCACAATAAAGAACATTTAAACATGATAAAAACACTTTTATGACTTGACTTGCTTGCTCACCTGTGAAGACAAAAATCCACTTTGCGTATAGTTTTGTAAATCATAGAAAGTTCCATCAAAATACATTATTGAAGAAACTGCATTACTGTAAGAAATGGCTACTGTAAAGGGGCTAATGAAAGGAGTTAATGAAACATTCAGTAAGTTAGCAGTGCCCACAGTATGCTCAGAAAAGCTTATCATGGTTAAATTTATCACAAAAATTGTATCGTTTCGTCACGTTGTCCACCCCTTGACCTTTCTTCTCCTGTGTTAATATGCCTCTGGGGATTAAGACTGTGCAAAAAAGGACACAATGTGTTTCTTTCCACAGTCTCCGCACTTCTCTGCGCTCTTTCGGCCTGGCGCTCTGTGGGCTTTTGAAGGCGTTCCTTTTTTTAGCAAAAGTATATTGCTTCCATACTGGCCATTAGCAGGCTCTGACCCGTGCAGAGGGAGATGATGTGTACTTTCTCTCTCACTCGGGCTGCCTCTTGTTAATGACCAAGCCTATGTTTCTGAGCTAACCAGGTTTTTATCACAGCAGAACAGGTCCCTAATCCCCCCGGTACTGCAAACAGCCTTTCAGACTCAAACACATGCAAGAACTACTAATCAAACGCAACGGACCACACACCACACTGCCCGTGCACACACACGTAAAATTGAGGCCATGTTTTCATTTGGCTTATCACAATAAGCTACATAAAGTATGTTCCATGACATACATAGACGGCATTAAAACCATAGTCATTCATTCGTCCACTGAAAAATCACTTCATAAAACACTCAATTCTGAAGAACTATTGAACATTTATATACATTTTTGCCAATGATTAGAATGATTTTATACATTTATGCCAATGATTAGATTTGTCTTCTGTGAAAAAAAGTGGAGGCAGAGGAATAGTATAAATATGAAACATGTCCACATTTGTGTTTCCTTATTTTTTTTTTTCCTTCAGCCATTAAAAAAAAGAAAATAGACAGAAAACAGAATAATTGCTTGTCTTTCAAAACGTTTTCACTGCCCTGAGGGAGTAGTGTGTTTTGCTGTCCGCTGCTTCACTCACTCACTTTCTCTCCAGCAGTCGGTGCAGGGGAGGTCAAGTGCAGAACATACAAGTGAATAGCAGATAATCCCACACATTAAACCACAGGCTAGAACTAATACCATATCAAATATTTTGCTATTCACAGGCTGAGTGTTACATCTCCCTGTAACAGCGTGGTTTCAGGGGATTCAATACTTAATACTGCATAAAACGCAGGCAGTTCTCCATCATCAATCTGAATGATAATGAGGAGGGCAATGTACCTATACTAGCAGAACATTCAAAATTAATAAGAAACTGAGAGCTGCATGTCCAAACCATGACCAGTTCTACATAAAAAAAGAAATGGCTGAACTGTCCATTACACAAATGTGTATCTTTAAAACACCTCAAGGAAATTAAAAGCAGGCCTATTCTGGTAAAAATCAGGCCTATTCTGGTAAAGAAGTGGACTTATGGTTTTGAAGATGGAATGCACTGCGTAAGCAACAGCTCCATAGGTGAAGACTGTGGGGCTATCCAGGCCTTCTGTGATGGAAGGCAGACAAATAAAAAAATAATCTGGAGAGGCCATAATTACACTGAGTGGCCCCAAGTCGAGGCATTAATCATTATAAGCAGCCATGACAGAAAAATCAAAGCATGGCTGGTTCAGTTCTCTCCAGAAACCCAGGCCAACCGACACAC